GGCAATACATGAACCCAGAGAAATACAGGGTAATACTCAAACTGCCCCAAACACAGCTAGAATAGCTCTCATGAACTCTGGCACTATTAGTGAGGCCTCCATTATAAATAAATAAATAATAGAAGTGTTTTCAAAATTATTCCTTGTTGAACATCAACAGGAATTGACCTGAACAGGGCCCTCTATAAATATTGTGCAAACCACAGCACCCAAAAGGAGAGAGAGAACAAAATGGAATGCCCTGCCACAGAGGCAGGGTGGGATGGGGGTGATGGGGAGTGGGAGGGATACTGGGATCCGTGGTGGTGGAGAATGGGCACTAGTAGAGGGAGGGATGGATATTCGATCATTGTATAACTGAAACCCAAGCACAAAAATTTGTAAGTCTACAACTATACCTCATGGTGTTTCACTAATAAAAATTAAAAAATAAATAAATCACAAATTACACAATCACAAATCATCCTGTTAATCATCGATTGCCTCGAGCAGACCCCAGTAACGTCTCCTTCATCCCAGCCCCGAGATTATATTCAAGGCTCTTTAGGAGAATGAGACCCATCATTGTTACTGGTATTTGGCATATTGGGTACGCCACGGGGAGTTTGCCAGACTCTGCCGTGTGGGCAGGCTACATTTGGTAGCCTGCCAGTTTGTCCAAAGTAGGAATGAGATAATAAGATGTCATAAAAAACTGTCAAAACACTGTCCTCCCATTCTTCATTGATTTTGCTCGAGCGGGCCCAGTAACTTCTTGTTACTGTGTTTGGCATGTCAAATATGTCAAGGATAGCTTGCCAGGCTTTGCTGCACGGGCGAGATACTCTCGGTAGCTTGCCAGGCTCTCTGAGAGGGCGGAGGAATCAAAAATAAATAAATAAATAAAAATATTGTGCAGACAGTAGCAATTGGAACCTGAATGCCTGAATGTTTTTAAAATGGAAATGGCATATCGTCCCCTCTCTCAGCCACTCCTCTACTGCCACACACCCTTCATGGGTTCATCGGCCTTCAAAGAAATGACAGTGATTAAATAATATGTAAGCAAACCTCTTATAAATAAGTTGGGTGTATGTCAAATTTCAATTCTGGGTTTCCATCACACAATATCCCAACATCTGTCCCAAAGAATGATTAAGACATCAATCTCAATCAGGTGGCGAATGGGCACTGGTGGAGGGATGGGCACTTGATCATTGTATAACTGAAACCCCAAGCACAAGAATTTGTAAGACTACAACCGTACCTCATGGTGTTTCACTAATAAAAATTAAAAAACTAAAAAAAAAAAAGAAACGAAAAAAAAAGGACATCAATTTACCTGGAAACCAACTTGGAAGAGGGAAAATAATTTAGGTTCAAAGTTGAAATAAACGTTGTATTATGAGAAGATAATATAATATCCAACTATACCACTACATATTTTTAAGGGAAAATTAAATTATATTTTTAGGAGGTTTATTTATTTATTTTACTTTTGGGATCACACCCTGTAACGCTCAGGGCTTACTCCTGGTTCTGTTGCAGGGATCTGTCCTGGCATGGATTGAGGGACCATATTGAGCTCTGGCGATTGAATGCTCTTCTGCCAAGTGCAAGGCAAGTGCCGTACCTGCTCTACTATCTCTCCAGCCACAGTGTTATGTTTTTTAAAATATTTGAACAAAGTTAATTGTGAAGTATTAAAATATTAATAAAGCCATGTAGTTTTTGTGTGGAATAGTTATATTGATCAAATTAAAATCCAAATTGTGATGAAGATAAATGTTACACAGAAGTTGATCATTAGGAAAGTAAAATTTGATTATTTCTGAAAATAAAAAAGTAGACCAATTATTTAATTGGTAAGTTTTAAATTCGAACTGGTGACTCTTAAATTAAAAACTGTAAAAAAACTCATGCTGATTTTTGATGTTGATATATACCTTCCTAACTTTTACTTCAAAGCTAAAGGAAAAAAAAAAGCAGCTGTCTTGCCTGATTTTTGCCTTTGGTATTATTAAAAGGAGGGGCAAAAATGTGTCCCAGACTGAGATATTATTTACCAAGTTAAAAGCCAAAACCAATTGTCATCTCCAAGTTATAAAGTCTTTATGAAAATAGCAACTTATAATGGAAATTTTGATCTATCTAAGCTCTGGTAGGGCAATATGCTTCAATAATAATAACAATAATAATAAATCTGTTTTTTTCTGTATTAAAACTCATACCATATTCTTGCTGTGAGGAAAATCAATTTATATTTCCAGGGAGGAATTCCAAAGTAGAATTGGATATTTATCATGACTGAACTGAGCTGACAACCTCTTCTCACTCTAATTTGGAGACTTTCTCCATGTTTACATTTGTTGTATTTATAGTTTAATGTCTTTGTGAAAAAAACCACTCCATGATAAAATGTAACCTTTGCTCTTATTCATGAAGAAGTTAGCACCATTCTAATTAAATTAAGGTATGACTGCAATTCATTTTATTAAATATTCCATTTGAAAATCTCTTTCATAGCAAAGTATGCACTTGCTTTAGTCTTGGCGTTTTCTTCTTGAGCTGCCGTCATTCGATTGAAGCATTTACTTTGAAATGCCTGCCAAGTATTTTTGCCCAATACCACAATAACAATGCAGCAATGTATGAGTGATTTATCCTTGTAAGTTTACAACGCAGGGACTGCTTGGAACACTCTCAAGAGTTTGAACAGAAGGTTTGCTTTTTACTCCCCTTAAATTGAACATAGGACATCCAGTAATTGTTGTGTGCCAGTCTGATATCCCTGTTGCAGGTGTAAATCTCACTAACTCACCAACTGGTTGTTTTCAATATTTAAAAAAGAGGCTAAAACATAGGTGTACATTCCTGAATACATAGGTATAACAAATGCACATATAATAATACCTTCCTCATTGCTACAAGTTTTATTCATTTCTTTCAATATTTAAATTCATTTTTTAATATTTAATTTTTTAAAAAAATTTAAGTGAAGAAAATGGATGCCAGCAATGCTCAGGGCTTACTCTTGACTCTGTGCTCAGGAATCACTCCTGGTGGTATTCAGGGAACAATATGGGATGCTGGGGATTAAACCCCCTTTTAGGCCACATGCAATGCATGCACCCTTCCTGCTGTACTGTTGCTCTGGTCTCTCTGCAACTTTTGTTATTATAGACATGTTTTTTAGTCAAAAAGAAGGACTTTTCTCTCTCTTTCTTACTCTTTTTGCTTATCTATTTTGGAAGCCTATTTTTATTTATAACACTAGTTGATATAATCCTGCCTTAACTGGGTTGCCTAGCTATTAGACTTCACTCAAAATAACCAAAATGAATGTATTTTCAAATATGTGTCTGGTTTTACTTCTGTGTGTGGTTTTGTGTGTTTTTTAAGATCCAGAACAAAGGAGGGAAAAAATGTTAGCAGGTTGCTGTTCCAAAGGCCGAATGCTTATTTAGAGAGGCCGTTGTATCCAAAAGAGAAATTGCCAGTTCTTTTGAATTTTCCTTACTTGCCTCTCAGTAGAAACAGGAAAAATGAAAAAGCATCATCTTCTGAGAGGTGACATGTGAAAACTGCCCAACAGCCCAAAGCTGGTTGTGCATATATTGACCTTATGATATATACCCAACAAAGCAGAGAAGAAAGATTTCAGGCTGTCTCAATGGAGCCTGAAGTATTTTCTACTTCATCCTACTCTTTAAAAGCTAATATATGTGCAAGTGGCTAAAAACAAAGCAAGTTCAAAATGGCCTCACCCTCCAAAGTGCTTCAGCCAGTGTTCTCGCATTTCCTGTTCCCCCACTTCACGGCCCTGTTTTTTGAAAAGCAGGATCTGTTTTTTTTTTCCTGAAAGAGCCATTAAAAAGTAGTTTCTATGAAATACTGAATGGCAAATGGTGAACTGCTAAGATAAAAAGATGTTTGTACATTTCTGAGTATTCAAGTTCTAAGAGTAGGGGGATACTTCCCTGTACAAAGGAATGTACAGAGCAGAAGTATTAGGAGAACAGCTTGGCCATGAGCAAAGATATCCACTACATTTTATTTATTTTTGTTTTCGAACCATACCCAGCAATGCTTAGTGCTTACTTCTGACTCTGCTCTCAGGAATCATTCCTGGCTGTACTCAGGGATCATATGAGATGCAAAGTATGGAACCCACGTCAGCCTCATGCAAGATAAGTGTCTTACCCACTGTAATATTGCTCCAACCCTCAAGTATTCAATTTAGATTCATGGAATAAATGGGCAAAGTGTTTTGTCTGAAACAGAAAGGACAAGATGGTTTAGCTAAGAAGCTTTATAGTGGCATTCGTAGTAATAAGGCAACTGGTTTTTTTTTTTAACACAGTTTTATATTTTTATATTTTCCAGATATTTTTGTAGGGATTTTTCATATTATGATTTTTCACGTATGTACGTTTTCTTTTCCTGGCATTTGTGATCAATGTTTTCTCTTACTAAAAGGTTTAACCTATGAGCTTCATTGGAAATAACTGGTTTAGAGTGGGGGTGAAGAACCTTATTCACGTGGAATGAGGAAATGAATAGTGAAGATGGCAGAGAGACAAATCGACAAAAGGGTAGAATTGATAGAATTTGGTGATAGAATCTTCTAATCATCAAGTTTAAAGTAGTTATTCATTGGTACAATACTTATTGAACACTTTTTGTTGGTCAATTGACCAATTAAATGGGTATATCTGAAAATAAATAAGCAAGAGCTCCTGTCTTTGATGAATGTAGGGTCTAAAGGAGTGGACAATGTCACAGAAAGCATGTTGTGCTATTTTTTTTTTATTTTTTAATTTTCCAGGTGGAAACAGACTTTATTGTTACAACAGGGGCCCTACCGCGCAGGGCCTTAGAAATCCAGCTGTGCGGCCCCGGGGTCGCCACGGTGAAATCGAGAGCTCAGGACGGCCGCGGAGGTCACAGCGACTGAGGACATGATTCGGGGAGGCCGGCCAAGACTGCAGCGAGACATGATCGGGGAGGCCGGCGCGGGCGGGGCCGGGCGGGGCAGGGGTCCCCTTCACTCCCGCTTCTTGTAGCTCTCCAGGTTGGCCAGGACCCAGCCGGGCGGCACGAGGAAGCACAGGAAGCAGGCGGTGAGCCCCACGACGACATCCGTGGTGCCGAACGGCTCCCGCGGCGGCCTGGAGTGCACCTGGGCCCGCGGCACCAGGAGCCGCCGGGCCGGGCCTGCCAGGCCCCTCAGGAGCAGCGGCGTCAGCGCAGACATGAGGGCGGGGAGCGGACCGCGGACAGTCGCGCGCCGCAGCCCAAGGTCGGGGAGTCAAAATCCATGTTGTGCTATTTAATGTAATAAATAATAATCATTTATTACCAAGCCTTGCAAAGTAAGTAGTCACAAAATGTTTATGGACTAGATGAAGGCATGGTCAACTACAATGCAATTTTTAGTGGACAACCAACTAACACATTTAAGTTACCTAAATTATTCATTATTTATTTTTGTTCCTTTTCTTTATGTTTTAAATCATTTTTGGCTTTTTTTCCTGATACCAGATACAATGTTTAATATCTCGTTGTAAGTGTGAGAGTGAGAAGTGGACTGAGGTTTAATCTCAGAAGGCAGGACATTTCATGTTTGAGTGTGTGTGTGTGTGTGTGTGTGTGTGTGTGTAATCTGCTTTTTAAAGTCATATGGGGCATCATATGTGGGCCCCCCCTTGCACTGCCAGGAGTAATTCCTGAGTGTAGAGCCTGGAGTAGTCCCTGGAGCAACAATGGGTGTGGCCTAAAACAAAACAAACAAAAGCCATATGCATATCACAAAGAAATATAAATTGTAGAATCAGAGAGAGAGAGAGAGAGAGAGAGAGAGAGAGAGAGAGAGAGAGAGAGACTACAGTGAATAGGGTATTTGTCTTCCACGCAGTTAACCTGGAATCAGCCTAGGGCTAGAGCGATAGCACAGTGCGTAGGGCATTAGCCTCGCACGCAGCTGTCCCGGTTTCCCAGCATCCCATATGGTCCCCTGAGCACTGCCAAGGGTAATTCCTGAGTGCAGAGCCAGGAATAACCCTTGTGCATGGTCGGGTGTGACCCTAAAAGCAAAACAAACAAACAAAGAAACCCAATAACCTAAATCAAGCTCTTAATGTCCAAAAGGAGAGACAGATAGACATATAGACAGAGAAAGAAAGAGAAGAAAAGCGCGTGCCAAAGAGGCAGGAAAGGATGGGGGTTCGTGGGAGGGAAACTGGGGACATTGGTGGTGGGAAATGTACACCAATGAAGGAATCGGTGTTGGAACATTTTATTACTGAAACCCAATCCCAAACAACTTTGGAACTGTGTATCTCACGGTGATTTAATTTAAAAATATTTTAAAGGCTAAACTTACAGTACAGGCTAAAAATTAACAAAAGAGTTTACTAAAAGCTACTATAAGCTGAAGCATTGATATATGAAATAAGATCAGTGACAAAACCATAAAGAGTATATATGTAACAAATGACATATTTAATTGTAATAAATTGAAAAGCCATAATATATTTCATAATAAGTTCAGGCAATAATACAAAAATCCTCTGAACCCGTTATTTATTTATTTATTTATTGCTTTTTTGGGTCACACCCAGCGATGCACAGAGGCTACTCCTGGCTCATGCACTCAGGAATTACTCCTGGCTGTGCTCAGGGGACCATATGGGATGCTGGGAATCGAACCCAGGTCGGCCACGTGCAAGGCAAACACCCGACCTGCTGTGCTATTGCTACAGCCCCCCCATGAGCCCTTTAAAAAATAATTAAAAGAAAATTTGTGAGTGTATGAAACTTGTGAGCAAATCCAGAGCTTTGCACATTCAAGGCAAGTGCTCAATTGCTGAGTTACTTCGTGAGCCCTCAAAATTAGCTTTTTTCTCCTTTGAAAAATTCAAAATATGAAAATCACAAAAATGAAACTTAAGTAATATGGATAGCATCTTAAAATACTTTTTCTTTTTTCTTTTTTTTTTTATATTTTATTTATTTATTGAATCACTGTGGGAAAAGTTACAGAGCTTTCGGGTTTAGGTCTCAGTCATGTAGATACCGAACACATTTCCCTTTACCAATACTCATTTTTAACCCCGAACCCCAATAGACCCCCACCTCCAACCCCTCCCAATTCTTGTGAGGCAGATGAGTTCTAGTTAATACTCTATCTACTTTGACTAGATAGATTATTTCGATAGAAGATGCACAATTATTGTTTAGAGTTTACGACCCACCCCCCACAATCAGACATGCTGAAACAGCGTTGTGAAATGATTTGCTTTCTACAACTTGGTTTAAGAATAAAATGATGTCGCGCGGCCGCAATAACGGCCGCGCGGTTTTGAATTTCTGCTATTTTACTTATTGACCCTGGAAGAATTTCTATTAAAAGTTAGCTAGTTAAGAGATTGGTTTCTGTGCCCTGGAGTCGTGGCCGTGCCGGAGAGCCGCTCGTGGGGGGCAGCTGGCGACCTCGGTGGGGCGTGGGGGACGGCCCACAAAGCCCCCCTTCCCATGAGGTCCCCGCTGCTCCCCCGAGCCCGGCTCAAACCTGCTTTCCACAAGGCTCCCGTGCGGCCGCCATCTTTCTTTCCAGACAAAATACTTTTTCTAAAAAGGAATTCATATATCTCCTTAGCTGATCCAAGCTATCTAGAACAATTCAGAAAATAATTTTGTGAATTCTTGAACTACAGGTGACTTTCGCCTCTTTAGTTTGTATTGCCATTTCTGAAAAATATACCAATTTAATTATCTTTATATCTAGAAACACAAACAGAAACAAACACTGTCCTCCCCTTGTTCATCGATTTGCTCGAGCGGGCCCAGTAACGTCTCCATTTTGAGACTTGTTATTACTGTGTTTGGTATATCGAATACATCACAGGTTGCTTGCCAGGCTTTGCCGTGTGGGCGAGATACTCTCGGTACCTTGCCAGGCTCTCTGAGAGGGGCCGGAGGAATCAAACCCGGCTCGACCGGGTTGGCTGCATGCAAAGAAAACACCCTACTCCTTTGCTATTACTCTATCACTAAATATGTTCTTGGATATCCTGAAATGCAAATTTTACTCTTTTAGTGGACACAGGTTTGGGCCACACCTACTGGTGCTTTGGAGTTATTTTAAGCCCTGCTTTGTGCTTGAGTCATAACTCCCCATCATGATCAGAAGACAATGTAGTCCAGGGATGGAACTGGGGTTGGTAGTATGCAAGACAAGCACCTTAATTCTATAATATATCTCCATCCCCTTCACATTTTATTCTTAATTTTGGTTTGTATATGATTAATTGTACACTAATCAAAATTAAAAAGAGGAAATTTTTTCTCAATCTGATCTATGCATTGCTGCAATGCATAGATCAATGGAAATTTTAGTGATTCTCTATACATGATGATAATAAAATTTACATTGTTAGTCTATTTTCTTTAAATTACTTAAAATTTTAACAGGACTTGCACTGAAACTGTATAATAGTTGGATAGAATTTTTATGTTAATAATATTAATTCTTCTAGTTAAGAGCATGGAATATTTTATGATTTCCTATGCCTTCATCTATTTATTTTTAAACAATGATTTTTAAGGCATACGCCATTCAACACCTAGGTTAAGTTGATTCTAAGGTCCTTAATTTTTTTGGATGCAATTATAAATGAAATGATTTTCATTTCTATTCTGTTTACAGATAAAAATGAAATAAATTTGTATGTATTGATTTTCTCATTTGTTGTTTTTATATATTTCTTAGGAATAAACCTAAAACTTTTTAGTGGAGTGTTAGAATTTTCTATATGCACTAACATGCAAACTTCAAATAGTTATATTATAGCTATACTAAACTTTTTCAATTTATTTTTTTTGTTTCTTGATCCTCATTGTGTGACTGATTCTTCCAATAATATGTGGTGAGAATGTGTGTTGATTCAGCCTCTTTGAAAAAAACAGTATGGTGGAACCTTAAAATATTAAAAATTAAATACCAAATGCTATACAACTTCATTAAAATAAACACAAATTTGAAAAGATATATTCTCACCTTTGTTTATTGTAGAACAATTTATACTAGCAAGGATCTAGTAATGACCCAAGTAACTAATGACAGATGAATGGTAAAAATGCAGTACATGGTACACACACACACACACACACACACACACACACACACACACACACACACATATTATTTGGGTATTAAAAAAGAAGAAACATGGGGCTGGAGCAATAGCACAGTGGGTAGGGCATTCGCTTTGCACATGGACGACTGGGGTTCGATTCCCAGCATCCCATATGGTCCCCCAAGCACCGCCAAGAGTGATTACTGAGTGCAAAGCCAGCAGTAAGTAACCCCTGAGCATCGGCTGGGTGTGACCCAAAAAGAAAAAAAAAAGAAGAAACTTTGCCTTTTTCGGACAACATGGAAGAAATTAGGAAGGTTATATCAGTGAAGTAATAAAGAGAAGAAAGATCACTACCAGAAGATCCCATTCATATTCAATGTATAGGGACATAACATAAGAGACATTTTCTACTGAACTTAAAATTTTCAACACTGACCACAGAAATTGGGTTGCAAAGTAGGAGTAGAGAAAGTAGAGATACAATGCTTTAAACCTTGAATAGGGATTGGAGAAGTAGAGTACAGCTAGTAAGGCACTTGCCTTGCACACAGCTTAGCCAGATTGTATTCCCAGCCCAGGAGTTATTTTTGAAAGAAACACAGAGCCAGGAGTAAGCCCTGAGCATAGCCAGGTGTGACCCACCTCAGAGCTAAGCCAAAGCAAAACAGAAAAAATCTTGAATAGCTTAAATAATAAGCCAAAATGAAGAGTATCATTGGACAATCCATGTAAATTCATCAATCAGGATTTTAGTTTAATTACTGTGACCTTGTTAGTCACTAGCTTTGTGTATGACTATTGATCACTTGAAAAGAGGTAAAAAACAGGGGCTGGAGCGATAGCACAGCGGGTAGGGCGTTTGCCTTGCACGCAGCCAACATGGCCGACCCAGGTTTGATTCCCAGCATCCCATATGGTCCCCCGAGCACCGCCAGGAGTAATTCCTGAGTGCATCAGCCAGGAGTGACCCCTGAGCATCGCTGGGTGTGACCCAAAAAACAAAACAAAAAAAAAATGCTGACTCTGCTCCATATAAAAGGCACATCAGATCATAAAGACCACATGAAAAAGAAATGTGAAATATGTGACACATTTTATATTATGTGGTGAAAATGTAATAATGTACATATAAGGTTAAATAAAACATTTTATTAAAATTAGTTTACCGC